ATTATTTTGTCAATCAAAATTAATCAATTAACTTTAATATAAACTGAATCCATTTGCCGGGCCCAGGGCAATGTTTACATCAGAGCTTAGAAAGAGTAGGGAGGTACAAGATATGGTAGAGCCGAAGATGCACGAAGGTAGCATGCTCACAGACATATGAGTGTAGCGTTGTAGTGGTGAGCAGTGGTGCTGATTTGCAGTTGTACGTCCCCACTACTCAAATGTCTATTTTCGTGCTACACTTCGAGCGCCTCTCCTGTAAAATTTGCTTTGGAACCGTAAGGTCCCTTTCACCGCGTCAGGACACATATATATATATATACCTACAATATAAAAAGTGAAATAGTTATTAATTAACAACAAATTTTTGCGCAAAATAATTTATTTTGAAAATTGTACAACTGAATCTTTCAAAATTTGATAAAATTAATTTTTTTATTTATAGTTTTATTTGTTGTTAAAAATAATTTTTTTGTTCTGTGGTTATGTTAATGGATTGAACCTCCTTAAGTTAAATTGAATTTAATTTTTGCAACATCAATATATAATATATTTAATAAATATAATTAATATTAGAATTACCATCATAACATAACCTCAAAACTGAAAAATGGTTTTTAAGAGTGTTTAACGGTTTTTGAAATTTTTTGGCAAAAAGGAGAGTTTTTTAATTATCGTTCTATAAAAACGGCACTGAACGTGAAAACGATAAACATTGATTTTAAAACACTTTTTCTCGAAACATTGACACTTTTTATAAAATAGGCCAAAGTACCAAGAATTTTTATAATATAAATTTTTCTAAATCCAAAAGATTTTTCTGTTTCATGCAAAAACGCGATTACAAAATTGGAAATAGGAAAATAATATAATTACAGGGTTATTACGTCCAGTTCCCGTCAGATGGCAGAAATATGCAGGGGAGCACAAAGTCGCAAGTGTCATTATATTACTTTCCTATTTTCAATTTTGCAATCGCGTTTTTGCATATGGAAAATTCAAAAAAGAACTCCAGACCGAAAATTCAAAAAAAAAAAATTATTTTCCATAAAGAAAAATGAAAAAAAACACCCAAAAATAGAGGGGCTTAATGTAACTTTGTTTTTCTTTTACTTCAATTCCAATGGAATTTTATTTATTTTGAATGGTTGGGCTTTTCTAAGTAGATACAACACGTAAGTTCAACTAAAACAAAATATATGTATATAGTTGTGTTAAAGGGTTCTTTCTTTTCCCTCGATCCAGCGAGAGATCTTTTTACATATATGTGAGTTGTTATTTTAAACGCATCACTCCCTCTGTATTTTGACCCTCAAATAGATGCACTCCTGCTTGGTTTTATTGTCTGAAAACCTATAGTAAATGATTCAACACAGACTTCTCTTCTTCTGACAACAATATTTTTTCTAAACCTTCATATAAAGTTTCCCAAAAAAAAAAAATTAGCCTTCTCACGCGCATCTCTTTGTTATACTTTCCCATATGTATAGAACCAAAAAAAAAATAATCTTATATTTATCTCACTTTTCATAGGAAACCATAATTTTATTTTTAGATATATAATTTCTTTTTACCATCTGTCTTTTTTTATGTTTTTAAAAGTCAAATAATTATCTCTATATACTATAATGAAATATATTTTTCAATAATATTTTTTAATGTTTAGTCATTCAATACAATAATAAAAGAATTTTTTTTCTAATTCTGTTTAATTATAATTGCTTCAAGAAATTTTTTATATATTTAATTAATTCACTCAATTAAATATTTATTTATAATAATAAGAATAATAAAAAATATATTAAATTAATAATATAATAATTATAATAATTTATTTTATTATTTAATACAATTTTATTACATTTAGTTAACATCGAATTTTTTATATCAATGAAAATTGATTCTAACTTTAAATTTTCGTTTCTTATGAGTTAATTTTTTTTTTAATTTATGAAAACAAAAAATTTTTTAAAAACACCTCTTTAAATATTTATATATTTGAAATTTAAAAATGTCTACTAATGGAATATTTAAAGTTTTCAGAAAATTTGTTTAATTTAATTTTAATTTTAATTTTCATATTCAAATTCAAAAAAATTGAATTTTTTTTTCCTCAAAAAATATGATACTAAAAATATGTTTTTATATTTAACGATTTTTAAAGAAATTTTTAAGAAAAATTGTTTCTACTTTTTTGAAATATGTATCTCTTTTTTTAATAAAAAATTTTTAATGAAAATTTGTTTTAGGTACTGGCAGCAGAAATAATCCGTACCAACGGAGATCGCACCGGTAAGACTTGAAAATATTTATAATAAAAATAATTATTTTTATAATAAAATTATACTATATATGGGCGATTCCATGTGAAATTTACAAGCTACAAAAAAGTTTCAGTTTTTCATCAACTTTCAAAATAATGTTAACGAAAAAAAATAATTTTGAAATTTTTTTTTAGAGAAAAAAGTACGATTTTTTATAAACAAATTAAATTTTTTTTAAATTTAGGGGCGATTTTTTTTTTACACACATGAAAATAATAAGAAAATTTTGTAATAAGTTTTGGAGTGGACCCTGATGACCCTTCTGTTTATATAATTTGTTTAAAAAAAAATTTTTTACTTTTTTTCGTTTTTTTTTTATTTTTCAAAATAAAAAGTGTTTTGGGCACGCGCAAGCATCTTTTAGTAAAGTCATAGAAAAGCAAATTAAAATACATTTTATTTTGAAAAATCAAAAAAAAAAAACAAAACAAAATTTTTTTTTTTAAACAAATTATATAAACAAAAGGATTATCAGACCCACTCCAAAACTTGTTACAAAATTATCTTATTATTTTTAAGTGTGTAAAAATAAAAAAAAAAATCGCGCCCAAATTTAAAAAAATTTAATTTGTTTATAAAAAATCGTAATTTTTTCTAAAAAAAAAAATTTCAAAATTATTTTTTTTTCGTTAACATATTTTGAAAGTCGATGAAAAAGTGAAACTTTTTTGTATGTTGGGCATAATTCCTATAAATTCAATACATTTTAGAGTTAAATGTCATTAAAATTAGGTGTATTTTTTAAAAACTCGAAAAAATCAGATTTTTATAAATTCATAACTCAAAAATTTGTGAAAAAAATGAAAATGTAAACTTTTTTTTTCTATAAAGATCGAAAAAAAAATATGTGACGCTCTCTGAACAAAGGGAACATAGAAGCAAACAAATTATAGGTTATGTTTATTGTAGTTTTATCATTATTAAAAGTTTCTTTTTACTTTTGTAAACTTAAAATCAGTTTTTGTTAAATATTTTGAATGTAATGAAGACTTAAATATCAATAATTTATATTGAAAATTGATTTTCTTTGTGTATTTTCACTTCAAAAATTCAAAACATAACCTATAATTTTTTGCTTCTAAGGTCCCTTTTTTCAGAGCGTGTCACATATATATTTACCGAATTTAAAATGTCATATAGGTAAATTTCACGTGGAATCGTCCATATACATAATTTTATATGTAATGCTCTCTTAAGAAAGGGATCTTAGAAGTAAACGAATTATAGAGGTTATGTTAACAATAGTTTCACTAAAAGTTTGTTATTTTATTTATGTAAAATTAAAATAATTTTTTATTAAATATTTTTTATATATATGTAATGATGATAATAATGTTTATTGAGAATTGATTCTTTTTGTTTATTTTTATTGAAAAATTTCAAAATATAATAATAACCTATCATTTTTTGCATCTTAGGTTCCTTTCTTTATAGCGCGTCACATAAATTTATTTTATAATTAATAAGAAATAAATGTTGAATATCTAATTCAAAAGAAAAAAATAATTATAATAATTAATAATAATAATTATTATTATTCGCAGTCTAGTAGAAAAATCGTTTGTGGGCCCAAAAGGGTAAAAAAAAAAATTTCCAAAACAATATCATATCATCGTATTAAAAGTTTTTGGGGTCGCTGAATCCAAATTTAAGGTCAGATTTAAAAAATTCAAAATGGCGGACCAAATATGGCGGAAAAAATGTAAAGTTGATTCGATTCGTTGAAAATTTGGTACTCGGGGGAATTTTTGGGTCGCTGAATCCAAATTTGATATCAGATTTTAAAAATTCAAAATGGCGGACCCAATATCTGCCGCCCCAACAAGAATAACCGTATCTGCATTTAGGATGAGTCACCTACTTGCCACTGCCACTGCCACCAATAAGTGACTTAACCAAAATGTAGTTACTGCTACTCTTGTTGGGACGGCAGATATGGCAACCCAATATGGTAGAAAATTTTAAAATTGATTCGATTCGTTCAAAATTCAGTACTCAGGGGTTTTCGGGGTCGCTGAATCCAAATTTGAGGTCAGATTTGGATTCAGCGACCCAAAGTACCGAATTTTGAACGAATCGAATCAATTTAAAAATTTTCTACCATATTGGGTCCGCCATTTTGAATTTTTTAAATCTCACCTCAAAATCGGATTCAGCGACCCCGAAATTCATTGAAACTCAAATCGAATTATGTTTAGTATTTTTTTTCCAATGTGGACATATATGCGTCCAAAATCACAAAGGTGGCACGACTTTTTTTGGACATATATGGGTCATCGACTGTCAAGGGGTTAATAATAATTATAAAAAAAAATACAGAAACTAATTAAGAAGTTTCTGAAGTTTCATATATGAATGCCAAGAACTTTGAAAGGGGAATATTTTGTGAAATTCCTCAAAACGCTTTGGATGCAAATTGCAATATATAAATGTATATATATATATATATATATATACAGAGAAGGGACTGTTTTCTCTCATCCCACTGGATCAAAACTCAACATATACAACAGTATAAGCACGCATAGATTTCAATGAGAGAGTGAGTTGAGTTTAAAAGTTTTCTGGCTCTATTCTGGCTTCTGAGGGATGTGGGCATTTATTAATAGAGATTAAACTCCGCGTCGTGTTGGGACGTGTGCAAAGTCTCCCGCGCAGACTTTACCGAGATCATGGCAGTTTGACTTACGCCTTCCTTTCTTTTAGGCTATATCAAAATCTTCAACTCGCGCTCGTATTATAAACAAATAGAAAATAATTATCGATTAATAATATTCGCATCATCGGTGGTGATTTAAAAAAAAAAAAAAAAAAATCCCTCAGTTTCTCTCCACAACAAAAAAAAAAACCAATTAACCGTGAAGTGATCAATTTTCTACATAGTGAATGGATTTGATCAAAACAATATGTGAAAAACCGCAAAGTTTCAGTTTAAAAGTATTTAACATTAAAAAAAAAAAAAAAAAATTTATTCGATCATTGCAAAAACTACATATTTTACAATTTTATAAAATTTAAAAATGTAGTTTTTGCCGAATGATTTACAAAATACTAAATAATTTTTACTTTTAATTTTTCTTTGGAAATTTTTTTATTGAGGATTCAATTACGAATGAATAAAAAAAAATGCAAAACGAGAATTTTAATTCAAAGAGAGTTTCTGCTGCTTAATGAGAAAGATTTTCTATTTAGGAAATTGTGAATTAGAGACCTGTTGATGAGTATACGGAATTGAGAAACGATAAATTTTGAATATATAGCTCTCTGGATTTTCAATTATAAGAGAATATAACATAACGAATGAAGTTTTGCCTCTCTCTCTCTCTCTCTCTTTCTCTCTGTTCTCGATTAACTGCTACTCACAATTGGTTCATCAGTTTGGTGCAATTTTAACGCTTGGATGCGTTCGATTGACGTAACTGCTATTATTACAAGAGAACATATTAAAGACACAGAGCCAGTAACGTTGAGTTTGCCCTTTGCACTAAAACTCATTATCGTTTATTATGTGATTTTTTCTTTTTATTTTTGTAAATTTAATGTATAATAATTAATGTAAATATTTGAATTTATCAAAATACAATTTCCGGTCGATGATTCTTCTTTTGTAAGTTTCTAAAACAACAAAAAAAAAAATATTTTTTCAAATCCACTGCAAAAATGATAATAATATTTATTTGAAAATGTCCCAACACACATTTAATGTCACCTATAAATGTCTATAATTGCAATGACACTAATAATTGCTTTGTTTTTATAATTATATAAATGTTAATTGTTTATTTTTGTCGATTCTAACTTACTTCACTTTTTTTTCTATTCTTCACCTTATCATGATTAATCTTATATATGACTAATAAATTATTTATTTATTAATAATATAAAATTACTATTAATAATAAATTAAATTATTATTAATAAAAATAATGAAATTACATATTCAAAAAAATTAAGTATTAAAATTATTAAATGTACCTATATTATTATTTTTTTTTTATAATTAATGCTCTTTTTTGTCCTAATTTTAATAATTTAATAATAAAATTCTAATAAATGGGCAAATAATGTTGTTGAATATATTTTTGTGCAAAAAAAAATTAACATAACATAACCTCAAAACTAAAAAGTTGTTTTTTAACAACAAATAAAACTTAATAAATAAAAATAATTTTATCAAATTTTGAAAGATTTAGTTTCAGGCCTCGGATCGACTTTAAGGCACAAAAAAATTCGTTTCAGTCGATTTATATTCCAAAAACAATTCGAAAAAGTCGATTTTTTTTATTTTAACAAAATTGAATTCGTTAATGAATATTTTACTTTAAATAACTAATGTTAATTAAATGCATTTTATAATTTCTGTAATGAGAATAATTCTATAAAAATATTATCAAGAAAATTTATTTACAATATTTCACAATTGAACTAATTGTAAGACAAATATTTTCAAAATTTTATTTAAGTAGAACAAATTACCAAAAAAATTCTTGAAGTTACATTTTTATAATTTTTTGAAATCTGATTTAAGCAATTTATTCGAATTACAAATTTTGTCATAGTTTTTTTAGTTTTGATGATCAAAATAATTTCAGCCAAAAACTTAATCAAGTTTTATAGATTTTTTATTAAAAATTTTTTTTAAATAATAATAATTTTGGAAGAGTTAAAGTTGAAATTATTAGAAATGATTGAATTTCAAAAGATTTGGTTAATTTTCAGACAATAATTAAATTTTACAGTTAACTAAAAATAATTTATCAAATAATTTTATAAATAACATTTTCAAAAAGTAATTGAATATTCGAAGATTTACAATTTAGATTTTAGAAATTAATTGAACATGAAGTGATTTTTAAATTAAAATTTTTCATGATTTCTGTTACTAAACAATTTATTAGAAACTGGAGACAAAAATACAATAATTTGAAAACTTTTTAAGTAAAAAATGGTTTTAGATAGTTGAATTTTCGAAGAATATTATAAAAATCATTAAAAATAATTTTGATTTCACGAGAATAATAATTCAAATTATTAAATTTCAAAAAAAATTTAAATGGACATTTTTAGAAATGATTAAATTTTAGAAGCTTTTAAATTTAAATTTTTGAAAATAATTAAATTTCAATTGAAATTTTTGAAAATAATTGAATTTTAGTTGATTTTAAATTGAAATTTTTGAAAATAAATGAATTTTAGTTGATTTTAAATTAAAAATTTTCAAAATAATGTAATTTCAATCGAAATATTGGAAAATAATTGAATTTTAGAAGCTTTTAAATTTGAAATTTTTGAAAATAATTAAATTTCAATTAATTTTGGAAAATAATTGAATTTTAATTGATTTTGAATTAAAAATTTTGAAAATAATTGAATTTCTATTAAAATTTTTGAAAATAACTGAAGAATTTATTATAGAAATTACACACAAAAATTGAACTTGAAAATTTTTTTTAATTGCAAAATGCTTTCAGATAATTTAATTTTCAAAGAATATTATAAAAAATTATTAAAAATAATTAAAATTTTTGCAAATAGTTTAATTTCAAGTGATTTTGAATTTTTGGTAATTTTATTTGCTAATTTTTTTAAAATTATAAACAATTATTAAATTTCATAAAAATTTTTTATTCAAAAGTAGTTTAAGATCATTGAATTTGTGAAGAATTTCATTAAAATCATTAAAAATAATTAATTTAGTGAAAAATTTTAGTTAACAATTTGTTAAATAATTGAAATAAAGAAGATCTATGAAGAAGATTTGCATTGTATTTTTAAAAAAAACGTATTTTGTTTTAAAATTTTGTAAAAAAAAAATTTTTTAAAAGTCGAAAATGTCACATTTTATTAAAATAAGTCGAAAAAAGTCGTATTTTTGAAAAAAAAGTCGGTGTAAAAATCGAAAAAGTCGTGTAATCCGTGGCCTGCAGTTGTAGAGTTTTTAAAATGAATTATTTTGAGGTTATGTTACAAGTACCCTTAATTGACAATTTTATTTACTTTATATTTCTAACCTCAATGACGGAATTTAATAACATTTTAAAATTTACTTTTTTTATAATTACTGAATTTAGTTGATATTTAGTTTTTATTTCAAATTTTCTAACATGGAATATTTACTGAACTGTTCTATAAATAATCGAGAAAACAATAAATTTCTATGCGTAATGTATATAGATTTAATCTTTGCGTGATTCTGGGAATTTTTTTTTTCGATAACTAATATAGGTCGAAGCACTGTTTACATCGTTTGAGTCATATATAGAATTTGTATTGTATGAAAATAAAAGAATTCGAAGCAAGATAGAAATATGCTTCGAAATATATGGAATTCGAAAAAAAAACATTTCTGAAAACAAATATCTCTTTCTGGTAAAAAATCGAATTTTTTTTTTTAAGAATTCACTTTCTCTCTATAGAAAAAAAAGACAAGTTTATTGTCTCCGCAACAAAAACGTACAAAAAAATAATTTTTATTTTTAATTTGCAAACATTAATATTCAGGAAAGGAAACATTTTTGTGATCCTATATTCAAATAGAAAATTTAGACGCATTTAACGAAATATTTAAAATTCAAATTTAAGGCCAGGTCCAAGTGAGGCAGCGCCATCTACATTGATACTAAAATTTTGGAAAATTTTCAACAGCCTTTTCTTGAAAACAAGAAGCGGTAAAATGCTTTTTCCTTTATGGATAATTGATTATTGGCAATATATACACCAGCTAAAACTTTTTTTGAGTTTAAAATAATAAATAAAATTTCATGTCAATAAATTAAATATGAGCACTTTTTTCACAAAAACTGTAACAGTACTTTCTCAGAAATTCCATTAAAAAATGCAATTTCCATTTGGAAAATTAATAAACGCTAAAAAATACACGACCTAAGATTTACCAATCACGAAAATAACAAAAAAAAATTTTATTAAATATTTAACATATTGATACTGCTTTACTGATTGTGACAGCCCTTTGGTAGATTATGTATTTCAGGTGGTTAGCAACAGCGCCAATCTCCTCCTTTTAGCAAAACCGTGAAACGTCTGGTAACATATATAACCTGCCAAACGGCTGTCATAATGAGTAAAATGTGTTATGATAAAATACTTTTTTTTCGTTATTTTCGTGATTGGTAAATCTTAGGTGGTGTATTTTTTAGCGTTTATTAATTTTCCAAATGGAAATTGCATTTTTGATTGTAATTTCTGAGAAAGTACTGTTACAGTTTTTGTGAAAAAAGTGCTCATATTTAATTTATTGACATGAAATTTTATTTATTATTTTAACTCAAAAAAAGTTTTAGCTGGTGTATATATTGCCAATAATCAATTATCCATAAAGGAAAAAGCATTTTACCTTCTTGTTTTCAAGAAAAGGCTGTTGAAAATTTTCCAAAATTTTAGTTTTAATGTAGATGGCGCTGCCTCACTTGGACCTGGCCTTAATGACAACGAATTCCATAAGGATCTGTTTCCAACAACAGAATATTTTACACTCATTATTTTAAAAACTACATTATATTTGAAAACAATCGTTTTTTTTTACCATCGGACAAATAAAATCTATATTTTGTTTTGAAATAAAATATAGTTGCAACCTGAGCAGAAATAACTGTGAATTTCGAAAAAAAGCTGAGAAAAGTAAAATTTTTTTCTGACTCATACAAAAAGTAGACAGAAACTCGAAACCCCTTTCTATGCAACAATTCTTAATTCCGCAGATATGTAATTAGGGTCTTTGTTCAAGTGCGTTTATGAGTTTAATTGAGTGACGTCACATCGTCGCAGTGTGCGATCACATTTATGAAATATAATGTAGAATACTTTATAGTCATGAGGAGACTGGATCATCCATTTTTTCAAACATTTATCACAGTGTATTGAAGTTTATATTTTTTTTTTTAAATCTAAAAAAATATCGAAGTGTTTTCAAACTTTAATGTGAAAAGAGTAAAAATAATAAAACTTTCCAAAGACGAGTGACAACAAAAAAGTGAAATAAAGCATTAGTTTGAAGAGTACAACTATGCTTTAGTGAAGGAAAAAAAAGGGCTTTTAATAGTGAAGGATTTTCAAATGATGCTAGTGCTTCTACTTTGCGTCATCATGAAGATAGCAGAGTTCTCTGTGGGGCGAGTTAGTCCCCCTTTACAAACTCAAACACGACCGCCACATCAGCCATGTTGCAATAAACGAAAGCGTCGAGATCGACGACAATGCCGGAAGTCCAATGACAAATGCAAATGCTGTTTTCTAAAACGTAAGATCAATTTCGAACAATAAATGTCACTTAAATATGTCATATGGGATTTCTTCTAAATGATATATATCATTTTAAAAATATGAGAAAAAAAATTTATTTCCATTACATTCTAAAGTTGAGGTCTATTTTTAGAAAAATCTTATAATTCCTAATAATTATTTTTCATATCCGCACAATTCATTTTTTTTTTTTTTTTTTTTTTTTTAATAAATAATTCAGTTTTCTAATTCAAATAATCGGTTGCTTGACTACCCAATCAAAAATTTACTAATGGCGCAATACTGGCACCCAGTATTGGCGCCAGAGTTGGCGTAACTTTGGCATTGTGTGAAATATTTCAAAAATATTATTATATACAATAAAAATAATTTTACAAAATAATTTGCAAAAATTATTAATTATATATTTATTCATAGTTCACACCTTTTGGTTTTGAACGAACTTCTGATTTATATATATCTTATACATATTCTCATATGTATTACATAAAAATAAATCAAATTGCATAAAATAAAATGCAAAAATTATTAATGAGAAAAATAATTATTTTCCTTTTCTTATTATAAGATATAGTATATTTTTTAAATAATTAAATAAATAAAATATTTCATTAGAAAATTCTTGTTTGAATATATTTCATAAAGAATATTTTACAAATATTTTTATATCCATTGAGAAATGAATTTATTTTTGCAAGAAAATTACAATTTTTTATTTTTAAAAAAAATATTTCAACAATGCCAATTAAGGGTATGTGGGCAAAGGAAGTTTTTTTGTGGTTTGAAACTTACTCTGAAATAAAAAATGATTTTGGGTTAAAATTTTTGAGAAATGATTTTGTTTTGTACAAGGAATCTCGCTGTTCTACTCATTTACCATAATTTAACGTAAAATTAATAAAAATAAAGTAATAAATAGTAAAATAATGTATTTAATCGTAGTTCCTTCAGCGGCCACTTGCTCGAATTGGCGCTGTTTACTGGAGAACTGACACACTCAAGCAACGTCTGTGTATGCGCCGCCATCTTTGTTTTCATTTTCGTTTAAAAATGCCAATTTTTAAACTTCATTTTTTAATAATTTAACGCAAAATTATGTATTTTTCGGAGAACAGCGAGATTCCTTGTACCCAAATCTATCATCCCTCAAAATTGCAGACAAAAATCTTTTCTCATTTTAGAGTGAAATGTATACTACCAAAACACATTTTTCCATACTAGGTCATGTGGGTGGTTCCCACATACTCTTAAGATATATTTTGACCGGAAAATTTGGAAATTAATTTAATTTAAAAACAAACAAATTTCGAATTAGTTTCGCCAAATTTATGTTCTATCAAAAAGTCTTTTCAGAAATATCTTCTTAAAAATTAAAAAATTTTATTTTACTAAATACTAAAGATTTCGCTTTAAGTAAACTCTCTCATTGAAATAAATGCGGTCGTTGTTCAGTCCCTTCTCTATATACGAAGAGAGTTTTGCTATTTCTGGCCCACACTCGTCGTTAACGACGACTGGAAAAAAATTGAAGTGAACATGTTGTGTTAGCAAAAGTCATCTGGAATGTAAATAAAGTATAGAATCGGCTGTAGGCGCCACGCGCGTGACACATTTAACTATTAGACATCAAGAACATTGTGTGGTTGCGCCATTGTCTGCATAACATATATATGTATATAACAAAGCATCTTGCATTTATTTATAAAGCATTATATCTTGAATGGTAATCATAAGGGTCTGATATGAATAATATTCATTCTAAACATCTCAGTACTATATAAAAATCTCGTCAATTCATTCATTCTCAAATGCAAGAAATTCTATATATCCCAACGGATTTCACATTCTTGCAATCATTTCTGATATTATAATCCGATATATATATATGTATATATTTGTATATATAAATATGTAAATTTAATCTGACTTAAAACACAACAATTTTCACTTTGACAGTATCTCTATTTATTTACAAAAAAAAAAATTTTTTATAAAATTTGATATTAACACTAATGAAATATTTACATTATAAAATAATTTATTCAGAAAAATTATTTTATTGTAAAATATAAATAAACATTGTAAAATAAAATATTTCATTTAGGGTCAGTCCACTGACTTTCGTCTAATAGTAGTTGCGACCAAATTTTAAAAAAATCTAGTTTTAATATATGTGAAACTCGATGATTCCCTGAGTTCATTAACCATAATATTATGGTAAAAATTTTATTCCCTTTAAAAATATTAAATATCAAAAGTAGGAGGTTCACAATGTGATTTTGTAACCTTAAATTTTTCAATTTTTTTAAAAACGCTATTATTAAAAAACTATTAAAAATTAGATGTTGGAACTCACCAAAACCATAAATCACTTTATTTCGCACATAGGAACGAAAGAATTATTGCAAAAATTTATTATTTTTGGATGATATACGATTTTAAAAAAAATTTTATTTAAATATTCTCAAGATTTTTATTTACTTATAACTTTTTTGTCGGTGCTCCGAAAAAATTGAGGTTTTGCACAAAGATTTTTTATAATATTCTTTACCTTCTATTAAAATCTTACGAAGGTGTTTTGCTTCGTTTTGGAGATATTAATTTTCAAAATTTTTTATTTAAAAAGGTTAATTAAAAGACTTGAAGTTAACTAACCAAATTCAAACTGCTCCATTTTTTATAAAAATATATTAAAATGTAGCGATTTGAAATTGGTCAGTTAACTTCAAGTCTTTTAATTAACCTTTTTAAATAAAAAATTTTGAAAATTAATATCTCCAAAACGAAGCAAAACACCTTCGTAAGATTTTAATAGAAGGTAAAGAATATTATAAAAAATCTTTGTGCAAAACCTCAATTTTTTCCTCATTTTTATGTAAGTATGTCAATTTTTAATTGATTTCATGAAGATTTGTGCAAGATAGGACGATTTAAGTTTTAAATTTCAATGAAATTGAGAATGGAAAAAAATTTAGTTTTTGTCCATTATTATTAAAAATACAAGTCCTACAAAAAACTTTCACAGACAAAAAAGTTGGGCATTTTTATACTCTACATGGTAGTACGTTTCAAAATTTAAATTTTCGAATTTTATATTTTCTCATTTTTCGACGGCTTGACTGAAATTCTCTCTTCAAGCGCAGATCGAGTTATTGCCGGCGGGAGCTCAATTTAAAAAATTCAATAATAAAATTTTAATATTGTTTAGAAAAGTTATAAATTATTCTTTAGAAATTAATTATCTATTGGTAAAAATACAATTTTAGGTAAACGTTAATTTTTATTTTGTTTAATTCAATTGTTTTCATATTCAATTATGTTCTGAATTTAATTACATTGATTTAGAGATTTTTTGTTTATTATGGATCGTTTTTTACAATTATTTTTATCTATTTGTCTAAATTTTAACTTCAATTCTCTACTTTCATTGAATTTCCTAAAATAAGGAAAGATTTATTTAAAAAAAAAAAACAGTTTCTGAACAATATTTTTAATTAGAAAAAAAACTTTGTACCCAATTTTGCGCTTCGCGATATCAAAACCGCGATATTAAAGTTATATATTTTTAATCGAGCAATAAAAATAATTTAATTTAAAAAATAATTTGGACATAAATTGGTAAATTTAAAACAATATGTATTATTATTATTATTATTATTATTATTATTATTATTTGATTTTGACGATGCTGAAGTTTACAACGTTTATGATGAAGATCAGAAAACAATTTTTTTTTCTTTTTTTTTTTAAAGACGGAAAATGATAAAAATTTTTATTTAAAAATATATTTATGATGTATTCCACGCCAAAGTGAAAGTCCATTTGCAATTGCATTTCCGATTTTTTTTTGAGATTATTTCTTTTATAGTACTATAATTGAGACTAGCTTCCACGAATCTTTTCAAATTTTTTTAGAAAACCGTTTTCGAGTTATGGAATTTTGAAAATTGGAGAATTTTCATGATTTTTAATTTTTGAATGCTCATAACTTCCTTAAAAATGCATTAATTTTTAAAGTTTTTTTTTTAAAAATGTGTGTTTTGAACTCAATTTTTCAAAGAAAAAAATCGAAAATTTTTTTTAAACCTTATTATCAAATTTTTGAGTTTTAATGATAAAAAGTAATTTCTCTCATTTGACGTATACTAATCGATTGTTTTCAAAATTTTCCGAAAAAACTACTTCTTTTTATGAAACTTTTAAGCCTAGCCCGATAATGGGCAAACAATTTTTACAATATTTTCGTAATTTTTCAAAAATTTTTGAATTTTGAATTTTTTAAAAATAATTCAAATTTTTTGTGACACCACGTACTTTTATGTATGTATTTTGATGCGCTGATTACGAAAATCATAGTGAATAATATACCCGAAAATTTGATTTTTATGGTGAAAACCATAAAAAAAAGTCCCAAAATTTATGGTTTTTTTCGTTTATTGGGTAAAATATGCAAAATTGAAAAAAAAATTCAGACAAAAGTTATAGATCTTATTAAAATATATTTTTTATATCTTATGCATTTTTTTTTTCAATTTTGCATATTTTACCCAATAAACGAAAAAAACCATAAATTTTGGGACTTTTTTATTAAAAAAAATTATTGAAAATTATTTATGTTAAAATTTATTTATTATTCATTCACAACAAAATTTAGAGAATGATCTATATTTCTTTGTGTCAGAAAAATATATTTAAATTTCTATTCTAAAAATTAGAAACCAACAATTTTTTGTAACACTATAAATGATTTTTTCGAATTTCTCGTTTGGAAAACGAAATTGTATATTAAAAAAAAAAAAATGCAAATTCTAATATGCTCAAAAATTAAGATTTTCTTTTTTTCATCACCCTGCATTTTTTTAGAATCCAAATGATATTTTAAAAAAAATATATTTCATACAATCATTGAAATCAAAATAAAAATGGTAAATCATTTTTTATTTTTTGAAAATTTATCCAAAGAAAACAATTTCATTGAATTAAAAATACGTAATAGTA